GCATGCTCATTAAATTTGCAAATCAATTTTTTAATTAAAATTTACAACAAAGTGTCCCCCTACTCAACTCCAGGAATGTGAGGAATCTGCAAGGGAAGCCATCAAATTCCACAACCTCTACAAAAAGCCTGAGGTTGAGTTCTCTTAGCCTTCTATGACTTTGAGTCTTGAGGATATGTCTCTTAGCCTTATTATTCAAAGATTATTTCCTTTTTATTTCTTTTAGTTCTTTGCTGATACAGAATGCAAATCTGGAGTATGTGAAACTTGTAAAGTTTAACATGGAGTTTGAATTTAATCCAAATGGTGAGATGTTTTACCTCACTTTTGAAGCTAAGGATACCAAAGATGGTTCCATTCAGTCTCAGCAGGCAAAGGTTTTTGGTGCTTACTCAAAAGATCCTGAGGTTATCCCTAAGGTGCAGATATTAGGACGAAGGGTGAATCTTATTTCATTGGCAAAGGTAAATTAGTAACACGCTAATTGAAAGTTAGTAAAATGGGATTCTGGAGGGATGGTGTTTGGTCTTGGAAGATAATGTGGAAAAGGAATTTGTCTGGAAGGGAGTGTAAGGAAGAGACGGAGTTGTTGGAGTTATTAGATGGCGTTAGGGTGATTGAAGGTAAAGAGGACAGAAGGGTAGGGAGGTTTGATAGTGGTGGGATATACAAAGTTAGGGAGGCATACTCTTTGTTATGTGCTAATCATCAAATCCTTGATTTTGACTTGTGTAAGGCTCTTTGGAATGATCTTATGCTTGGAAAGAAAAGTTTTTTCACTTGAAGAATGTTTTTAGATAGGTTACCTACAAAGTTAAACCTATAAAAAAGGTGTCTTCATGTGGATGCGGGGGATAGTAGATGTTCAAGATGCCATAGAGAGGAGGAAGATGATGAACATGGTTTGCTTAAATGCAATTATGCAATTAGTGTATGGAGAAGGTGCTTGGAATGGTGGGGTTTTAATAGCACCCAACTAGGATCAATCCAGGACATGTTTAGATCACTTGTATTAGGGACGGTTGAAGCAAAGAAAAAGAAAGCTTGGTCATTCATGTTTCTTGTTGTTGCATGGTCCATCTGGAATGCAGAGAATAATCTGATTTTCAAAGAGGTTGACATCTCAGTGAGTAATTTGTTTGAGGTAATTCAAATGTAATCCTTTCTTTGGTTGAAGGGTAAGGTGATCGGCTTTTATTATCCTTTTTTTGAGTGGTGCAGCAATCCAAGAGTTTGTGCAAAAGCAATTACTTAGTGTTTTAAGTGCTTAAGGACGCAATGTTCTAAACAAGGAGGATTTTGATTTGTGAAGCGAATTTTGTAAACTTGATTAAGGGCAAGAGTACTCCTTGTACTCCAAATAATAAAAATTTAAAATTTTCTTGGTTGATAAAAAAAAAAAGGGTAATATCAAAGAAATAGTTCAGTAATATCATCTCTTGCAATGATGTTGAATCCTAGCTGTGCTAGTTGGGTGTTGATAATTGTCATGTTTAACTATAAATGGAGTGGAAATTACGTGTTTACTTTCAAGTTGAACTGTAAGAGCAAGAATATTTTCACAGTATGGTGCATCTTTATATATGCTTAGGGTTTTCTTTTACGTTTTACTCCTTTCTTGATTGTCCAGTGTTCTATATACTAGGTCCTTTATTTACAAACAAATGTTTCAAATGGACAGCAGAGCTGTTTAGCAATGGAACTAAGTATATGGCCAGATTTAAAATTAATAGTTTAGTAATACCATATCTTGCAATGGTGTTAATCTTAGTGATGCTAGCTGGCTGTTGGCATGTTTCACTATAAATGCATTAGCAATCAGGTGTTTACTTTTAATTTCATCTGTAAGAGCATTAGTATTTTCTCAAAATGGTGAACCTTTATTGCTAATCTTAAAGTCCAATATATATGTTTGGTGCTTCTTTCTTTTTCGTTTCATTCCTTTCTGGATTGTCCAGTGTTCTACGTACTAGGCCATTTATTTATCAGCAAAATCACAAAATCTAACAGAAAAGCCCGGCAATGTTAAATTTTCACCTCTTATTTTAGTGCATCCTTGCCGTGCGCTGTCATTGCAGTTGCCATTTCAACACGTAGAGTGTAATTAGGATTGTTGGGTACTAGTGTAAGCTAGTATAAATAGTTGTTTAGATCTCTTGGGGTTTGCTTTTCCGTTGTTCTATTTGAATTGATTGGTTTTGAAATGTAGTATAAATAATAGTTCAATGCATGAGATATTTATGGTTTTGTTTTTGTCATTTGCAGATGTTTTGCTAACTTACTGTGGAGACTCAACAGAAATTTTTGAAGGATGTGTCCTCTGTAAGTAAGCTGGATATATTTAGTGTCATCGGAGGAGAAAACTGGGTATTTAGTACCGAGATTTTGAAGGATATGTCCTTTGTAATCAATCTGGATATATTTAGTACCATTAAAGAAGAAAACTGGGTATTTAGCAGTCAAAGCATAAGCAAGAGACGATTAGTTGGACAAAGTTATTATTTTGTTCATATTCTGGCCTATTATGGCACGCTTAATTATTATATCTAGCTATATGAACTTATGCAGATTATTATTTTGCCTTTGAGATTTTATTATCATAATTAATTTTTTTAGTTACTGTTGTTGTGACCTCATCTCTCGGTTAAGTTTAAACTTGCTACCACTAATTGAATTCAACCTAGTGTTCCATGTGTCTGGGCCACCAAGTGGTTATTTGCTTTCAGAGAAATACGCCAAGCATCCTCACATATCCCCTCCCACCCTCCCTCCAAATGGCGAACTGCTCCTCCCAGGCTCACATCTGCCAGTGCTTGAGCCGTTTAGCAACGGTGAAGCGGAACTCCATGGTCGCAATCTCCGATAGCTGCCGCAAAACTGGCCAGCAATTTATCGGCCCGTCTTGACTCTTGCTACCGGTCTGCTACAACTCGGCCTCCGAAATGGCGACGTTGTTGCCATCTCTGCCTTAAACAGGT